CCGCTCTCCCGTTCTCTGACCCGCTCGAGCAGTCACAGCCTCTGGGACTCTGCTTTAAGCGTTGGGGGGGACGTAGCAAGCCCCTCCCCTCCCCCAAAGGAGGCCAGCTGGGTCCCCGGCGCAGGGAAAGCCGTGAGAGCTCCGGGACACGTGTCCTTTACGTGTGGCTGTGGGACCAGAAGTGGTCTCTTGGCTAGCGCGGCCACGCTGGCAAAACCAGCCATTGCTTGTTGTGCAAGTGTTGGGGTTTGCTTTATCTTCCCTCCGGCGTGTTCTCTTCCCGTCCAGTGACCCGTGTCCCACTGTCTAGTGTGGTGTAATTACAGATATAAGTAATACGATAGCGAATTCCTGCTTCTCAAGCCTGCCATTGTCACCGTCTCCTTTTCAGTCCCGGCAAGTGAACCGTGCAAACAAGAGGGAAGTACGAGAAGCTAATAAGTATTTCTTCATCGAGTCCTGCATCGCTCTCTTTGTCTCCTTCATCATCAACATCTTCGTTGTGACCGTCTTCGCTGAGGCTTTCTTTGAAAAGACGAACGCGGATGTGGTGAGTTGGGGCTGGGACTTTGCCGGGGACGGGCTGACACCGAACCATGGGGCTGTTAGAGCAGTAACGGGGGGACCCTGTGAGCAGGGGGGCAGCTCCGAGCCTTACCAGTGCCCCTGGGTCAAGCAGAGCCCATATATTCTGTGCGTAAAGGGGGGGGGGAAAGAACAGGGGTGCTGATTATTTCCATTTAAACCGGTCTGAAGAGGCACCCAGCACCTTGGGACCTCCAGCACCCGCTGCTCCTCGCGTGCAGCCTTTTCTGCTCGTCCTCGCTTCTCTCGCGCGGAGCAAACCCAACCTCCTGCCCCTTCGTGTCGTTGCAGAGCGACGTCTGCGTGAACGCCAGCAGCCCGCACTCCTCGCTCTTCCCAAACAACAACCAGACGCTGGAAGTGGATATCTACAAAGGGGTGAGTGACCCGCAGGGCGGGATGGCCTCTCGCCTCCGGCAGCCTGGCGTCCTTGCCTGGTGTAGCGGCTGCTTCTTTTGGGTAAACGGGGAGTGCTGAAGGCTGGGGCCTGTAACGGGATCGCCGAAAACGGAGCTGGAGGAGACCCCTGGGGATCCTTGAGCCCAGCCCTTTGACCAAGCAAAATTATCTGTCCCTTTGCTAATCGTGCTGCATCTAACCTGACCCCAGAGACTCCCCGGCTATCTGTTCCCCTCTTTTATTAGCTCGGCCGTGACAAAGTTTTTCCTTGCATCCATCCCGAACCTGCTTTGTTAAAACGGCAGCCTGCGAGGCATCGCCTTATCTGCTGCCGACGTGGGGAATGCTTTTCCCTGTCCTACAGACGGATTATTCCTCCTCTTTCAACTCGGTGCCCGTGATTAATCTGGTCACAAGGGAATTCGCCTGCTCTTTCTTCTTCCCGCTCTCAGATGTGGGACCGAACTGACGTGAGACTGCAAATCTCTGTTCCAGGGTGTCGTTCTGGGGTGTTACTTCGGCCCCGCTGCTCTCTATATCTGGGCGATCGGGATCCTCGCTGCCGGCCAGAGCTCGACGATGACGGGCACATACTCTGGGCAGTTCGTCATGGAGGTAATTAGCACTCTTAGCGGCTGCCTGCGTCCCCGTTCTCTCTACTCCCAAGCCTTTAAAGCTCATATTGATGATTCCCCTTCCTTGGACACGCAGCTCTTGCTGGAAGCTCCATAAAACTCCCCGACGTGCCTTTCAAACAAATCAGCTTTTAATCCCGCCCCGAGCCGCCCTCTTCCCACTGCGCTTGAAGTCTCCTTGCTGCTTTCACCCAGCAGCTGCTCTTGGTTCTTTTCTGCAGGGCTTCCTGAACCTGCGGTGGTCCCGTTTTGCCCGGGTGCTGCTGACCCGCTCTATCGCCATCACCCCCACCCTCTTCGTCGCCATCTTTCAGGACGTCGAACACCTGACGGGCATGAACGACTTCTTAAATGTTCTTATGAGCCTCCAGGTGAGCAGCAAGCGCCCAGCTTGGGGGTCAGGCCTCGAAGAAGAACATCTTGCACTGAATATTTCAGCTCCTGGTGCCTAAGGGTTTGCAGGAGCAGCTGAGCAGAGCGAGTCGCTGCCGGGAGATGTTGGTCTGCTGGGGGGAGGTGGAGAGGATCGGCCAGGGTCTGAAATTGCTTCCTCCTTCCAGCCAGGGGAGAAGTCCCTTTGACTCGCTTTACAATAGCTTTGGGGAAATGCTGTCAGATATGAGCAAGCCTTGGATGTTTGTCCGTGCTGAGATAATCAGAACAATTTCCACTCCTTATTCTTCTCTATTTTCTTGCTTATTCCAGCTTCCGTTCGCTTTGATCCCTGTCCTGACGTTCACCAGCCTGCCCAGTGTCATGAATGACTTTGCCAACGGATTGTAAGTACGAAGGGAATCGCTTCCGAGCAGGAGACGACGTGTTGCTCACCTCAGGCACGCGTTTCGTTCCTCTCCTCGCCTCGTGGCCTAGAGCATCTCCTCCAAACGCAAGAGCGGCCCCTCTGCCTCACCCCGTTTTGCTCTGGTTTTCTCGCAGGTTCTGGAAGATCGGTGGTGGCGTGCTGATCCTCCTGATCTGCAGCATTAACATGTACTTCGTGGTGGCCTATGTCATGTCCCTGAACCACATGGCTTTGTACATTGGGGCTGCGATCCTCAGCGTGATCTACCTGTCCTTTGTGGCGTATTTGGTAAGTCTGGTTCAAGCTGGGACTCCTTGTAGGCAGGATAAGCCGATGGATTTATTTTCTCACCGTTATATTAATATTGTCACATTTTGCAGGCATTAAAGTCGGCCGCAGGGTCAGAACAGATGGGGAAGTTGAGGCTTTTGCGGCCAGATTTGCTTGGGAGTCTGTTCTGTGCTGCGCCTACTAACCCACGTGGCCTTTCCCCTGCTTTTTCGACCATCTTTAGCAATTCATCTGCTCGCTGTTCCCAAAAAGGCCTCGATTTAATGTCGCAGCAGGTGAAAGGTTGGCAGAGACTTTGGAATAAGGCACGGTTCCTCTGTGCGTGTCTGTATATTGCCAGAGCTGTAAAATCATAGAATGATCATGGAATCACAGAACGGTTTGGGTTGGAAGGGACCTCTCAAGGTCATCTAGTCCAACCCCCCTGCCCTGGGCAGGGACAGCTTCAACTGGAGCAGGTTGCTCAGAGCCCCGTCCAGCCTGACCTGGAATGTTTCCAGGGATGGGGCATCCACCCCCTCTCTGGGCAACCTGGGCCAGTGTCTCACCACCCTCAGCGTAAAACATTTCTTCCTTAAATCTAGTCTAAATCTACCCCCTTTAGTTTAAAGCCATTCCCCCTGGTCCTGTCACAACAGACCCTGCTAAGAAGTTTGCCACCACCTTTTTTATAAGCCCCCTTTAAGTACTGTCAGGCTGCAGGAAGGTCTCCCCGAAGCCTTCTCTTCTCCAGGCTGAACAACCCCAACTCTCTCAGCCTTTCTCCATAGCAGAGGGGTTCCATCCCCCTGATCATTTTCGTGGCCCTCCTCTGGACCCGCTCCAACAGGTCCGTGTCTTTCCTGTGCTGAGGACCCCAGAGCTGGACGCAGTGCTGCCGGGGGGGTCTCCCCAGAGCAGAGCAGAGGGGCAGAATCCCCTCCCTCGCCCTGCTGGCCTCGCTGCTGGTGATGCAGCCCAGGATACGGTTGGCCTTCTGGGCTGCGAGCGCACGTTGCTGGCTCATGTCCAGCTTTTCGTCCACCAGCACCCCCAAGTCCTTCTCGGCAGGGCTGCTCTCCATCCCTTCATCCCCCAGCCTGCATCGATACCGGGGGTTGCCCCGACCCAGGCGCAGGACCTTGCACTTGGCCTTGTTACACCTCATAGGTTCACACGGGCCTGCCTCTCCAGCCTGTCCAGGTCCCTCTGGATGGATCCTGTCCCTCTGGCGTGTCGACCGCACCACTCAGCTTGGTGTCATCTGCAAACTGGCTGAGGGTGCGCTCGATCCCACTATGTCCCTGACGAAGATGCTCAGTAATACTGGTCCCAGTGTGGACACTGAGGGACACCACTCGTCACCGGTCTCCACTTGGACACCGAGCCCTTGACCGCAGCTCTTTGAGTGCAACCGTCCGGCCAATTCCTTAACCCACCGAGTGGTCTGTCCCTCGGATCCGTCGGCGGTGCCCGTCTCTTCACCTCTAACCCACGCCCGTATTACCTCGAATGGCAATTTATTTACCCTCAAGCAGGCGACACCACTTACACGAGCAGAGTCTGGGTCTCCGTAACGTGCTGCAGCGTTCCTGATCACCGGCACCTTCTTTCATTGCAGGGCTGGCTGTGTCTGATTGCTCTGGGGGTCTCTTTCCTGGCCTGCGGGAGAACGGTAAGCGTCACCAGGACACTGCTCACGGAAGAGTCACCTTCTTGCTCTGCTAAGTAGCCGCAGTGTCCGTACGCAGCGAGTAGCCATCAGAGCCAGTGCGTTTCTATGGTTTACTGTGTGAACATAGACATCGTATGTGCGGTTTGCACAGGGAATACGCGTGGGGGGGGGGGGAAAACAGAAAAAAGAACAATAATCAGATGTACATGTTGGGAAACGCGTTGCTGCTGAAGTGCTCCCAAGCTGGCTGTTTGCTTTGCTGAACGCCTCTAATCACGCTTTGACGTCGGTTGTGCCACCCAGGAGCTGCCCGTTTTCCAGCCGCTAGCACGTTCCGTAGCGCGGAGGGGAGCACGCCGTGCTGCAGGCTGGCTCCTCTTCCCGGCTAACCTTTGCTCCAGCCTCTTTACCTTTTCGCATTAAGACCGGCAGGCTCTCTCCTCCCTTAGCGTTTTCATCCACGTAGCAGAAACACTGAAGCTCCAGGTAATTACTGCTTCTGCACTGAACTGGGGAATCTAGAAAAATAAGCTAGGAAGTTCGGAACGCGCCTTCTGGGCGATGCCTGAAGGGCTGTCGTGGTTTAACCTCAGTCGGCAACTGAGCACCACGCAGCCGCTCGCTCGCCCCCCCCCCCGGTGGGATGGGGGAGAGAATTGGAAGAGCAGAAGTGAGAAAAGTCGTGGGTTGAGATAAAAACAGTTTAATAATTGAAATAAAATAATAATAAT